AGTACATGACAGCTGGAATTTGAATCTTTGAAATTAAAGGTAGCCTGCCAGTTTCCTATAGCCTATTGTACTATTTCTATTATTAATATTCAAAATGTGCCTGCAAATTTTTCAGTAACACTGGTGTCCCACTTTTCTGTTCTAACCGATATACCCCATAACTCAGATGCATATAGTTAAATACTGTGGAATACTTACTTTCACTTGGAATTTATTTTCGCTATTTTCGCTGAAGGAATGATTCCGTGAAAATAAAATCCAGCGAATATACATTTTTTCTTATATTTCACATTAAACTCATCAAAAATCAGTGAAAATAAATTCCATACAAAATGCCCAAAAAGCCTTTTCAGCGAAAATTAATTCCAGCGAAAAAAAAGTATTCCACAGTAGGTAGTTGTAACATTTCAAAACGTTTGGTCTTATGTTTAAAGTTGTTGGAATTGTTATCATAAATCCTAGTCATCAGTCTTTCTGCTTTTCTAGCCTTATCTGAGTCTCGAAAATAAGATATGACATTCAGTTATCTTGTATCTGATCGTCAAACAAGTACTTATTGTACAAGTTACTTATAAGTCCATATTGAGAGATAGTGCTCTGGAACAGCAATATATAAAATAAAATGGCCACTAGTCAGCCATTTTGAATTCATCAGTATATCTATGATGTATAATGAATAAATAAAATTTGAACATAGCCACTCAAATCATGTCAAATATATGGTTCTAGAACCGCATTCATTAAAACAAAATTGCCGTCAGTCAGCCATTTTGAATGCGATCTGACAAACAAAATGACACGCATTAAGGACCAATAATGTCCAATGTGTGTACCAAGTTTGACCAAAATCCATCTGTAAACATGATTTTTCAGTACAAAAATGGCCTCCATTCGGCCATCTTGAATCAGATCATGAAACAAATTGATGTGCATATGTTTAATATTATGTATGATGTATGTGTGAATGTGATCAGTCCAGGCATGTCTAAGATATAGGTTCAGACACATGCACACACACGCACGCACAGATGCAAGGACGTACAGAGGTCAATCTACACGTCCCCATTTTCGAACTGTGTCTGAACAAGTACTAAAAATACTGTGGCAAAAGCTCACCCTGAGCAGGGCTTTGAAGTCAGCACTTGCCCCCAAATATGACCCTTACTCCACAAGATTGCCCAAGGCAGGTGTATCAGACAAGTATGGTATAACTGTTGCCTTTAATATGGTAAGGTACTTACTTAGATTTATTTTGTTATCTTTGTTACCTCCTTCTTGTTTGCCAGTTTTTCCATCATAAGATTTGGTTGTACCTGTAGTAGTGGTACAAGTAATGAAATAAGTCAATATATTAATGGGTAATTTTCAATGCAACTTGGCATTCAGACATTCAAAACAATTTTCTGAACAGTTTGCAGTCCTTAAAATGCAAAGTATCTTTGATGATGAGCTACTAAGACCTCATTGAGAACCACACAACTTTTTTTACCGATAGTGCCCCCTCCCCCGTAATCACATCCATTGTCACAGTGTGTGATATGACAGGCCACTAATTCGCAAAGATTTGCACCTAGTTATAGTATTTCACTGGCATGTCATTGACAGAAAAAAAAATGTATATTGATATTGTGATTATGAAAATCGTCTTATTAAAGTTAATATGCAATTTGTAATTTAGTAAAATGAAATTCACATTTTATAAACAAAATAAGTTTACAAACAAAGAAAAATAGGGCTACAATGTTTTTGTTCATGCCTTGTATTACTAATAGAGTCACTTATTTTTTCTTTGCCCAGTAGTAAACGGGGTGGTTCAACTTATTTGGGAGGAAGGGGGCTCATTTGGATCCTACAAAATCAGTCCTGCTCAAGAACACACTGTCCTGTACTAAATATTCTGGTTACATTATTCAGGAGAACAGCAGACGCAATCAACTGGAGAAACTGGAACATTATTTGAGATGTAAAAACAAGTTATGTGATAGACTCTGCTGCAAAATCTCAAGGTCATTTGTGTTCAAAAAGTTAATTAAAATGAGACAATGAGACAAGAATTAAAATAATTACTATGATAGTACTGTCCAAATTAAGGCACTGTGTGACAGCACTGTAAATTATTATAATATATAGGATGGAATAAAATATTGCTTTATTACAACGTTAAACAAAATTTGACAATTCTTTTTTGGTTTCTACACATGTAGAAGGTAATAAAGTTAAAAACAAAACAAAACAAAAAGTGTGACAAACAAACAAGAAAAAGTAAACTACTGTGTTAATATTATTGGCTCTCTTATTGTATACACTGTTTTGATATATTTAATTAACCCCAGTAATTGTTGTCTAGTATGGGCATTCATAATACATATAAATTTGTCATTGTTTTTGATACCATTGATGTTATCAAACAAGAAATATAATTCCTGTCTTTTAGATTCATAAAGTACACATTCTGTGATAAAGTGCACTTCATCCTCTATGACTTGGCACTTGATGCATTTTCTGTCCTCAATATTTGTTTTTGGTCGTGTATGTCTACCTGTTTCTATATGTAATTTGTGGCTGTTCAGTCTGAATTTGCTTAGAATTCTGATTGCCTGTCTATCATTAAGCTGATCTATGTATACTTCTTGTTTTATATCATTTTTGAAAAGCTGATATGTTCTGAGTTTTGAATCAGCCCTTTGCATGTCCTTCTTCCAGATATCAAGACAGTGACTTGCAGAGATTTTTTGAAAGTTTAGCTTTGTGACATCTTGGTTAATACTGTATCCCTTTTTAATTTTTGTTAGTCTTGAAAATACATAAAAGAAAATACATAAAAGACTAAAGTCGAAGTAAAATTACTTATTAATATAGTAAAATAATATGCTGTCAATAAATTTGCTAGCACTATTGGCAATGAACCCATCTCTCGAATTTAAAATTTCTGCAAACATTTGTTGTTTTGATAGTTTACAATATACTTTCAGTATAAATACTAACTGTATTCAGAAATTCAGTACGAGCATTTGATATTCCAAATGTTACCCATGTATTACCTTAGATTTTGGTTTCTGAAATGTAAAGCACAATGTACTAAATAACTGCAATTGTCGATGTTGTTTTCAATTATTTTCTTTTTAAATACCCCGGCTTAGTGTCCTAGGTTCTTCGCGTAATTAGGTGTTCGTATGCAAGGGATTTTTCCACACAAAAACGACGAATTAGGCCGAATTTTGTTATCGGTTGGCTTAATATAAGCCCAACGGACCGTATTTTTGTGAAAGATTGGTATTTTTGTCCTGATTTGTAGGAATCTGAAAAACGCGTTTCACAACTTGTCTCTTATTTAGTTTTATGCGTCATTCAAGATGGCGGCCCCCATATAGTAAATATCGTATTTATTTTATTATCACGTGTGCGCCAGCTGACTGTGCCTCCAGACTGCTAATATAACAAGTGTGAAAACACAAAATCAATCACCTTCGGTTTTCATATTTCCGTCACAAATCGGTGAACAGAACGTGTATTTACTATTGCCCTCAAATTTCCATATAATATTGACTAATTGGTAGAGGCGACAATGAAAAAGTTTACTGTATATTATAAGTATTCCCGTGATAAAATATCAAAATCATTAGTAAAGAAAAGTCGCCGCGACATCACAGACTTATCTTGTAATCTGTTTACGACACTTGTGTGGAAGATCAAAATGTACAGCCTTGTCTTCCGTGAAGCCTAGCCCGTATGTACACGGGTGGTACCGGCTTGTATCTCGTGAGAGATTTGAGTTCTTGTGATCTGGTGGGTGAACGTCGGGTTGACTTTACAGTCAAAATCAAATGAGCGGTGAGGGGGAGAAGAGCGTTCTGTCAAAACAATTTTACCGTAGACTCAATTTTAAACACCAATCTGCAGCGTTGTATTTATTATAAATAAGAATCCAAAAATAGAATATAAATACACACATACACTCGATTAAATTTTCTGGACATATATGTGACGCATGAACGAAAACGATCTATTGTAAAAGATATGAATTGGAACTGCCTGTGACGTGTTGTCTAGGCGTCGTTTCGTCCTACAGTCAAATACAGAAACAAAAACTGATTTATTTTCTTATGCCAAGACCTTGTTGTTCATGCATTTCAAGCATGACGTATTTACTTCTTGTACTCTGTGGTGTGTGCTGTGGAAACATCTGATTTCGCGGTTTTGAGCTGTCGAAGTATTTCGCGAAAAATAAAAAGGGTAACACCATACGAAGCAGTCAGGCCAATGTCTTGTTGATATCCGAAACTTGGAACCTTTAACAAAACGGTTATTTCCTGCACGCCTACCAGTATTACACAACAATTTGCAGCTCATTGCAGTCTGACACTTATTCACTGTACCCCTTCCTTTTTCTGTCTGTCTAGAAAGTTATGCAAAAAGTTTCATCCCTTAGAAAACACAAGTCTTTGCCGTACGATCAAAAGAAAAATGTT